CGAGGCCCGAACTCCCTCCGGACGCCCAGCCAACGGCGGCGGTGGTGGCTAGTCCGAGGCCCTGCTGGGAGGGAAAGGGACGCCGCGGTTTTCCCAGGCGACGCGGATAGCAGGTAAGAGCGCGGGCAGCCGAGGCTGGTGAGAGGGAGTGCGGAGGGCGAGGCGATAAAGCCTTGCTGTCCCGAGAGCCGCCTCCTCCCTACGCGCCCCCGCCCCGCGCCTGTGTTGTTTGCTCCGGGGTTTTCCGGAGGCTGTGGCGGTGACACCCGCGGGGAGTGGGGGGACGGTGGGGGGTGGGGAGAAAGGGGCTGAGTGCCCCTGGGCAACGGTCGGGGAGCGGGATATTGAGAGGGGAAGGCGCGCTGCGCGCCTGCCCACGGGGAGCACGGGGCGCGGGGCAGGGCTGAGGGAAGAGGTTACGGACCCCGGCGGGGGGGATGGGCCGAGCGCAAGCTGGTCTCACTGTTTACGTCTCTGCGCGAGTCACCTCTGCCGAGAAGCGGACTGAACTGACCCGCCTCATCCCGCGGCGAGGCCGGGGCGGGGGTCCGACTCCGGAGGAAACGCGTCCTGGGAGGGTCTATGTTGGGCGGGAGGCTGCGGCCGGCGCCGGGGCTGGGCGGCGAGCTCGGGGCGGAACCTGGGAGGCTCCAGCCGCTCTGGGTGGCGGGGGGAAGGGGGGCTGGACACTAGTTTCCTTTCCCGTCCGGCCTCGTCGTCGCCACTTACCTTTCCTTCCCTCCGCAGCTAGCTTGCACGACAGGTTGTACTCGGCCGTTCTTTTATTCTCGTTTTCCACGCCGGCCCCCTGCTGCCACCTTCCCCTATTCCCGGACGGGGGTGGGACGGGTAGGGAGGCTTGCCTCTGATCAGCATCTATTTTTTAAACAAAACAAAAACGGGCTCAGTAGTGCGCACGTCCAGTGACCGCCTTCTGGAGCCTTTCCTCCCGAAGCTGCTGGTCATTAGGGACCGCGCTCCTAGATGTTCTCGGGGCGCGGGAGCAGGACGGTGAGGGCTCTGCCAGGGGTCGGTACTGACTCTGCCCGAGCAGCTTTGCGAACAGAGCAGCCGAGACCCCGCTCCTGCTTCTGTTGGGCATTCCGTGTCAGTGAAGGACAGAGAAAATAATTCCATAACACCGAGAGTAATCCAGATTGCACAGTTTCTAATGTTCCTCATGTGTCAGTATCCTGAGCTCTCCTTTTAGGAGCCACTTTTGCTGTAGAATAACCTTTCTTTAAATTCTTAGTACTTCATTAAATGAGTAAGAGGGGGACACTTCATCGTCCCTTTTTCTTATGTTCCAGAACATTTACTTGAGCTGTATGGTTTAAATTTTAATCCGGTGATGAGAGAACAGTAATCGTGTGTTTGGTAATCAGATTTGCTTTCCTTTTTATCTGTAAGTCTCTATCGAGAGGTAAATTATGCACTCTCTCTAGTGCCAGAATCATAGAAGAATGTACACTTTACTAAGATAGGATTGGATTGGATATTTGTGTTTCAGAGTTTCTTCAAAAGGTAGAATGACTTTATATATAAAATGTATTTTAAAAAATTTAGGAATAATTAAAGTTTATGGAGGGCAATATAGTTTACAGGGTGCATTCATAAGAATATTATGGAAACATCTAGTAATTTAGCACATGAAGTAGAAAATTGAAATATCTTGGGCATTTGAAATTTGAATATTTAATGCCAACCTATTTTTAAGCTTAGTGAATTAATTACTTGGATTAATTATTGTTCCTCATTTCAGGCATAAGTACTCATTTACGAAATAATCAGTTTGAGTATGGTTGGAAAGAATTTATAACTTTGGGATTTTTCTATGCTAGGTAAATAAATTGGTAACTGTGGCTGTGGTAGGGCCTGCCAGTGTTGATGGCTTTACCTACTCACAGGTTGTATACCTTTTTGCGGGGGGACACTGGGGTAGCTTTATTGAGATATAATTCACATACCATTCAATTTGATTTAAAGTGTACAGTTCAGTGGTTTTTAGTATACTCAGAGTTATGCAACCATCACCATAGTCAGTTTTAGAACATTTTTATCACCACCCAAAACTCCTATACCCATTAGCAGTTACTCTCCATTCCCCCTCACCCCCCACTCGCAGTCCTAGGCAATCACTGATCTACTTTCTATCTCTATAGATTCTCCTATTCTTGATACTTCATGTAAATGAAACCGTACAATATGTGGTCTTTTGTGACTGGCTTCTATCATTTAGCATAATGTTTTCAAAATTTGTCCATGTTGTAGCATGAATCAATGCTTTCTTTTTATTGCTGTAATATTCCGTTGGATGGATATATTACATTTTACTTATTCACTCATCAGCCGATGGATATTTTGAGTTTCTACTTTGTGGCTATTATGAATAATTCTGCTATGAATATTTGTGTACAAGTTTGTGTGTGTGTGTGTGTNCATTAGCAGTTACTCTCCATTCCCCCTCACCCCCCACTCGCAGTCCTAGGCAATCACTGATCTACTTTCTATCTCTATAGATTCTCCTATTCTTGATACTTCATGTAAATGAAACCGTACAATATGTGGTCTTTTGTGACTGGCTTCTATCATTTAGCATAATGTTTTCAAAATTTGTCCATGTTGTAGCATGAATCAATGCTTTCTTTTTATTGCTGTAATATTCCGTTGGATGGATATATTACATTTTACTTATTCACTCATCAGCCGATGGATATTTTGAGTTTCTACTTTGTGGCTATTATGAATAATTCTGCTATGAATATTTGTGTACAAGTTTTTGTGTGTGTGTGTGTTTTCATTTTTGGGGGTAGGTACACTTGTTAAGTTAGCTTTTTGAATTATTTGATACCAAAAAAATTCATCCATTTTGAGTGCAGAATTCAAGAATTTTTAGTAAATATGTAGAATTGTGAAACTGTCACCAGAAGCCAATTTTAGAACATCTTCATTGCCTCCAGAAATTTCCTCTAGCATGTCTATAGTTAATCTTCATTTCCCTCTCCAGCCCCAAGCAATCATGATTTGTTTTGTTTCCATAAATATGCTTTTTCTGAATATTTCATATAAATGGAATCATACAATATGTAGTCTTTTGCATCTGGCTTCTTCCACATAGCATAATGTTTGGGGGATTTATCCATATAGTAACATGTACCAGTATTTTACTCCTTTTTATTGATGAATAGTATTCCTTTGTATAGATATACCACATTTATTTGTTGACCAATTGATCAGTGTTTGGATTGTTTCCAGTTTTTGACTGTTCCAAACAATGCTCCTTGAACATTTGAGTACAAGTCTTCATATGGACATATGGTGTCATTTCTGTTGGGTAGATATCTAGCAATTGAATTTTACTGCATTATATGTTTAACTTTTTAAAGAAATTGCCAAACTGTTTCCCAAAATGGCTGTACCATTTTACATTACTAAAAGCAATGTATGAGTTCCAGTTTTCTTCATGTCCTTGCCAATACTTATTGTCTGTCTTTTTTTACTATAGCCATTCTAGTGGGTATGAAGTGGTTAATTCATTGTGGTTTTAGTTTGAATTTTCCATATGATTTCTAGTGTTGAGCATCTTTTCATGATTGTTAGCCATTCATCTATCTCATGGTGACATAGTTATTCAAATTCATTTACACATTTTTAAAGTGGATTGACTTATTGAGGTTTAAGAGTTTTAAAAAATATATTGTGGATGTAAGTACTTTATTAGATATATGATTTGCAAATATTTCCTCTCAGTATGTGGATGGTCTTTTGAAGTGCATATTTTAATTTTTTTTGGCAGCTGGCTGGTAAGGTGGTCTGAACCAAGGTCAAACCAACTGAGCTAACTGGCCAGACCTTTAATTTAGATAAGTTCCAGTTTATTAATTTCTTCTTTTACAGATCATGCTTTTGTTGTTGTATGAAAGAACTCTGCCTAATCTAAGGTCTTGAGGATTTTCTTCTTTGTTTTCTTCTAGAAGTTGTATGGTTTTAGCTCTTACATTTAGATTTGATTATTTATTTTGAGTTAATTTTTGTGTATGGGGTGAAATAAAGGTCTAAATCAATCTTTTGCATATGTGAAAGAACTCTGCCTAATCTAAGGTCTTGAGGATTTTCTTCTTTGTTTTCTTCTAGAAGTTATATGGTTTTAGCTCTTACATTTAGATTTGATTATTTATTTTGAGTTAATTTTTGTGTATGGGGTGAAATAAAGGTCTAAATCAATCTTTTGCATATCGATTGTTCTAGCAACATTTGTTGAAAAGACTATTATTTCCCTATTGATGGTCAATGTAAGAATTTATTTCTGGACTCTCAATTCTGTTCCATTATTTGTGTGTCTATCCTTATGCCACTACCAACGTGCCTTGATTATTGTTGTTTTATGGTAAGTTATGAAATCAGGTAATGTAAGCCATCCAGTTTTGTTCTTTTTTTAAAAATTGTTTTGACTATTCTGGGTCCTATATAAAAACTTTAGGTTGGCTTGTTAATTTCTGCAAAAAATTCTGCTGTAATTTGTTAGGGATTGTGTTGAATCTGTAGATCAATTTGAGTAGAATTGCCGTCTTACCATCTTGAGTCTTCTAATAATGAACGTGAACATTTCTTTTCATTTATTCCTCAGCAATGACGTTTTGTAATTTTCAGTGTACTAATCTTATGCTTTTTTTTAATATTGTGGTAAGCACATGATATCTACCCTCTTAACTTTTTAAGTGTAAAGCACAGTATGTTAACTGTAGGCACAGTATTGTATTGTACAAAAGATCTCTAGAATTTATTGGTCTTAACTGAAACTTTATGCCTGCTGATTAGCAACTCCTCACCTCTCCTCCCAAGCCCCTGGTAACCACTACTCCACTTTCTGCTTCTATGAATTTGACTATTTTAGATACCTTATAAGTGGATGTATTTGTCCTTCTGTGACTAGCTTATTTCATTTAGCATAATGTCCTCAAGCTTCATCCATGTAACATATTGCAAAATTTCTTTCTTTTTAAGGGCTGAATTTCCATTGTATGTGTATACCACATTTATACTTTTTTGGTTCAGTTTATTCCTAAGTATTTTATTCTTTTCGATGCTGTTGCGGATGTAATTGTTTTTTAAA